GGGCTGAGGGCTGGGGGTGGTCTTGGGGGGGTTCTCTTGGGGGATGTAGTGTTTTTAGGGGCTGGAGTGAGCCCGTAGGACCCTCTTAAGGGGCTCTTGGAGGGCAGTAGAGGCTGGAAGTGGGCTTGGAGGACTACTTACGGGGCCATTGTGGGACTGAGGCTTCTCTGGGGGCTGACAATGCACCATGGGGCTACTTAGGGGGCTGTTGGGGGCTGGAAGTGGGCTTGGAGAGTCACTCATGGGGCCACTGAGGGGCTGAGAGTGGCTTGGGGGTCTGGGGGGTGAGCCCATGGTGTCACTTAGGGGGCTGTTGTGAAGTTGAGGGGACTGAGAGTGCACCTGGGGGTCGCTTATAGGACCATGGAGGGGCTGGGAGCTGTTCTGGGGAGGAGCTGCCGCCTCCTTCAGCCCAGCCCCTCTTCTCCCAGGTGCCAGTGAGCTTTGAGGACATCGCGGTGCGCTTCAGCCGGGAGGAGTGGGAGATCCTGGACGAGGAGCAGAAGGAGCTCTACAGGACCGTGATGGAGGACAACTACGAGACGCTGGTGTCCCTGTGTAGGCTCCGTTTGCGCTGGTTTGGCAGCTGCCGGCGCTGCCCGGGGAGCTCTCTGGGGGTGGCTTTTCTGCCTCTTTGGTGTTTCGCTGGGGTCTCCAGCCCTCAAACTGCCCCTCAAAGCGTCCGCTGGACTCCCTGCTGTCCTCTCTGGCAGCGGTCAGAGGTTGGTGGGTGGACACAGGATGTGGTGGTGAGAGCTCGGTGTCTTCTTCTCGTGGGGAACAGGGACATTGAACTCCCTGTGTTGTCATCGCAGACGTTCCTTCTGTCCTTTCCTTCCACTGTGGACATTCCCTAATCCTTCCTTTCCACTGCCGATGTTCCCTCTTTCCTCTGCCTTCCCATCCATCATGGGCATTCCCTCTTCCTTCCCGTCCATCGTGGACGTTTTCCCTCTTCCTTCCCGCCCATTGCCCACTTTCCCTCTTCTTTCCTTCCACCACAGACGTTCCCTTTTCCTTCCCACCCACCATGGACTTTCCATCTTCAATTATTCTCTCACCCAGTGAGTTCTTCCCACCCGGAAAGGGAAATCAGGGAAAACCAAGGAAACCCAAGGGTTGAAATATAAATGGATTCAACAGAATAAGACTAAATAATTAACATGAATAACACTAAGGAACCAGTATTGATCCCGATACCACTATAAATAGACAAGACAACCATTGTAAATATCCTCAGCCTGTTCCATCAGCAGGGACAGCCCATGGGGACCGTGCGAGCGCTGCAGCTTCAGGAGGAAGGGAGGGCTCAGGGCTCTGGCACGGGGGCAAGGAGTTCTCAGGGTGGCAGCCATCGGGAGAGAGAGAACTCAGCAAACTTCCTAATTTCTATGGAATCTGATGTTTGTGGTATGAAATAACCCCGTTGGCAGCCTGGGGCAAGTGCCTGGCTCTCGCTCCTCCTTGTCCCCGCACCTGGGGAGCTGGAAAACACCGAGACCTGGAAACCCCCACAGCAGAGCTGGCTGTAAAGTAAATATTGTCACCACTTCAGACACCGGAGTTTCCTAAAATTGCGCTTTTCCCAAGCATTAGGAGAGATTTTGCTGAAAAGTAAAATTACTGAAAGAGGGATTAATCCTGTGTGGTTCAGACCAGGAAGAAGGTGAATTTCTGGGGGGGTTTCTGTTGCAGGGATGGATTTTCTTGCAGTTGTCGCCGGGATGGGGGGTTGGTCAGACATGGGGACTGTGTTTCCAGGCTGTGGGTGCAGCTGCAAAAGTGCTGTTGTGTCTTTCCTCTGACATCTGTCTTGCTCCGTAACAGACTGTGACCTCTCCAAGCCTGGGCTCTTATCTCGGATAGGAGGAGGAGAAGAGCTGTGCCCACCAGCAGAGTCCCACCTGAAAGGAGCAGATCTATCTCCAGAACCCACCAAAGGTGTGTGACGCTGAGTTTTTTCCCTGCTGGAATCCTGGCTCCTGGTTGTTTACTGGGATGATCGTAGTCCCTGCCCTCAGCCGCAGGGACCACGGTGTCTCCCAGGATGGCTGTGGACGGTCTGTGCTGGGAGAAGTCGTGGAGAACGTGTGGTGGGACACATGGAGAACCTGGAAACCCTCCCCTGACCCAGCAGCTGTGGGGATCCTGATGCCCTGTTGGGCTTGGGGTGGGGGGGACCCCTGTGCTCCCCTTCTCTGAGCTCCCAGCTGGCCGCCAGTAAAGCCCAGTGGTCTTCTCCTCCCCAGAGCCCCTAAGCGGTGATGGTCTGCTGGAGATGAAGGCGAAGGAGTCTCCTGAGGGGAACTGTAGGGACCTGGAGGACAGCAGGAGCCTGGTGGTCACATCAACCTGCAGTGCACGTGAGTCCTGGGTCCTGGGCCCCTGTCTGGTTTTCATCATCGTCAGCAATGTGCTCTGTGGCCAAGAAGGCCAATGGTCTCCTGGGGTGCAAGAAGAAAAGCATGGCCAGCAAGTGGAGGGAGGTCCTCCTCCCGCTCTGCTCTGCCCTGGGGAGGCCCCAGCTGGAGCACTGGGACCAGTTCTGGGCCCCCCAGTTCCAGAAGGACAGGGAACTGCTGGAGACAGTCCAGCAGAGGCTGTGAGGATGACGAGGGGCCTGGGGCATCTCTCAAGGCTGAGGGACTTGGGTTTTTTTAGCCTGGAGAAGAGCAGACTGAGAGGGGATCTCATTGATGCTGAGCAATATCTAAGGGTGGGTGTCAGGAGGATGGGGCCAGGCTTTTTCCAGTGGTGCCCAGGGACAGGACAAGAGGAAATGGGCACAAACTTGAACATAGGAAGTTCTATCTAAACATGAGGAGGATCTTCTTTGCTGTGAGGGTGGCAGAGCCCTGAAAGAGGCTGCCCAGAGAGGTGGTGGAGTCTTCTTCTCTGGAGATACTCCAAACCCACCTGGACACGTTCCTGTGGGACCTGCTCTGGGTGGACCTGCTCTGGCAGGGGGTTGGAGGAGATGATCTCCAGAGGGTCCCTTCCAATCCCCACCGTTCTGTGATTCTGTGATCATCGTTGCTCCTCTTGCCTTCACAGATGTCCCTCATGAAGCCACCTCTGTGCCAGCTGATCTCAGCCAGCCCACCCCGGCCCCTTCCTGCCCTCTCTCCGCCGCCTCTCGTGAAGGGGTGAATCTGAACCAGTCTCCATCGCCTCCCCCCGCAGCAGGTACTGGGACAGACCCCTTTGGTCCCTCCTTGGCAGGGGGTGGTGGCCTCCGGGGAGCACCGGCACACTCGGAGAGCGGCCGGAGGTTTGCCCAGGGCTCTGTCTGTACCGGGGGCTTTCAGGACAGGGTTTTACACAAGTCAAATGGGCCAAGAAAAGGTTTTGGCAGTAAATCCTGCTGCCGGCCTCAAAACCATAAAGGATGAGGCCTGGCGTGGCGTCAGCCAGCCCTCCCAGTTGGTTTGCTTTGAAGGATGAGCCCTGGTTTTTCTGTGAGAGTCCCTTCCATCCTGCCCAGGTGACATTTGTCATCTCACAGCGCCCTTGGGGCATCTGTCGGGATGAGCTGTGGCAGTGTGGGTGTGAGAACACCCAGATGGAGGGGAAGTGAGGCTGAGATTGTTCCCAACTGCTGGCTGGGGACGGGGTGGGAGGGAGGAACACCCCTTTCCCTTCATGCCTTGTCCTCGAATCCAAGTGGGAGAGCGATGTTTGGGTTCTGAAACATTTCCAGCAGATGCCGAGGTGGGGATCCCCACGGAGGTGCTGCAGGAGGAGCCGGCGGTGCCCAAAACACCCTTGAAACGTCTGGAAGAGCAGGACACGGAGGATTCGGGGAACGGTGGGCAGGGTCCGGCGGCAGACGTTCCCAAAAAGCTGGGAAAGGCGGCCGTCCCAGACGCACGTGGAGAGATGGCACAGGCGGATCCCGGTTGCTCCGTCACCGAACCGGAAGAGCCCACCAAGGGCTCCTTCGCCAGCCGGACTGTGGTCTCCCAGCGAAATTCCAGCCGGGAGAAGTTCCACTCCTGCCCCGTCTGCCAGAAAACCTTCCTGCTGCAGATCAACCTGGTGATCCACCAGCGGAGCCACAGGAACTGGGAGCCTTACGTCTGCACCTACTGCAACCACACCTTCGTGTCCAAGAAAAAAATCCGGCGGCACCTGCGGGCGCGGGCGGTCACAGGTTTCTGCCAACCCCTGGAGGTGGAGGTGTGCTCCAAACAGGTGCCGTGCCCTGACCCCCAGCCCCGAGACCCCAGCAGGGACTGTGGCACGGTGTGGAGCAAGCCCAGCCCCAAAAGATACCCGCTGTCACCTGGGAACGTCACCTACACCTGCAAGGAATGCCTGGAGAACTTCTCCAGCGAGAGTTTCCTCATCCTCCACCAGCACCACCACACCAACCACCACATGATCTGCTGTCCCTGCTGCAGCAGGACCTTCACCTGGGGCTCAGAATTTCTCCACCACCACCTCGCCCACGCCGGCGAGCGACCAGTGTAGCATCTGCCAGAAGACTTTCAAGCATCACAGCCACCTCAGCATCCACCTGGACGTCCACAGTGAGCACCAGGACAGGCCCTACCCCTGCAGGAACCAGCTGCGGGTGCCGGTGGCACCCATTTAACCACCGACGGGGACGTGGGAAGTGGGAAGTGTGGCAGGAGAAGTGGGGTGGGAAGCTGGGAAGTGTCCTCCTGGGGGCAGGAGGACGCTGTTGGACCTTCTCTTGGCCATGGACGCGTACGGGTTGGATGAAAGCTGGAGCACAGGAGGGAGGGTGCCCAGCCCTGCCCCTGCAAGGGTCCAAGCCGGGGCACCGATGCTGGCTCGGTGTGTCCCTGGGGGCACGTCCCTTCTCCTACGGGGACCATTGTCCCTGCAGGCTGGGCTTCTGCAGAGACACTCTCCAGTGGGGTCTTTGTACCGAGAGCTCGGAGCGCTGCGGAGCGGAGGAAGCTCTGGCCCCGTCCGAGTGATCCCCGGAGGGACACGCGGCTCCGGCTCGGTGACACGGAGCTGTCACTCCGGCTGCCGCTCCCCTGGGTGCCACTCCTGCTTCCCTCCAAAAACATCCACCGCTCCTGATAATCCAACCCAAAAAGGTACCTGGCCCCCGAGCTGCTCAGCCCGGGCTCTGGATTTGCCATTGGACAAATCTGTTCTGATCCCCAAATTCCCTCTTTCTGTAATTCCTGTTTGTTTCCTGTGAAAATACCCCGTGTTCTGTTTCCCCGCCGTGCCCTGGTTCCTCCTCCTGCGTCCTGCGTCGTCGCCGCACAAATGTGTTGCCGCCGGACAAGCCACGGCCTCAACGCAACCGGCACCGGTTGCTCCACAGGGATTGTCTAAGGGTGTCATGGGACAATGGCCACCCCTTGTTCCTGAGTCCTGGTGGGACACTGGGAAGAGATGGGACACTGGGAGTTGGTGGGACACTGGGAGTTGGTGGGACACCAGGAGCGGGTGGGACACTGGGAGTTGGTGAGATGCCAGGATGATGTGAGACACTGGGAGTTGGTGGGACACTGGAGGTTGGTGGGACACCAGGAGTGGGTGGAACGGCAGGAAGAGCTGGGATGCTGGGAAGAGATGGGACACCAGGAGTGGGTGGGACACTGGGAGTTGGTGGGATGCCAGGAAGATGTGATACACTGGGAGTTGGTGGGATGCTGGGAGTTGGTGGGATGCCAGGAAGAGATGAGATGCTGGGGGTTGGTGGGACACCAGGAGCGGGTGGGGCACCAGGAAGGAATGGGACACCGGGAAGAGATGGGACACCACGAACAGATGGGGCACCAGGATTGGGTGGGACGCCAGGAACGGATGGAACAACCAGGAGTGAGCGGAATGCCGGGAACAGATGAACACCAGGAGCAGGTGGGACACTGGGAGTGGGTGGGATGCTGGGAGGAGATGGGATACTGGGAGTTGGTGGGACACTGGGAAGAGATGGGACACCAGGAGTGAGTGGGACACCAGGAAGAGATAAACACCAGGAGCAGATGGGACATGGGGAAGAGATGGGACACCGGGAGTGGGTGGGATGCGGGGAGGAGATGGGACACTGGGAGTTGGTGGGACACTGGGAAGAGATGGGACACCGGGAACGGATGGGACACCGGGAGTGGGTGAGACACCGGGAGCAGGACCGGGCACCACCGTGGTGGCCCCATCCCTTGTCTGCCGAGCGCCGGGCGATGCTGTGCGATGACGATGCTCGGTACCTTCCCTCGGTACCGGCGGGTACGGGCAGCGCGGCTGGGCTCCTCCCGGGGCGGGGGGGGGCAGCACCGGGCGTGGGGA